AATGACTATTTGCAAAGCTTTTACTTCTCTGCAAATATTCTCGTGAACAAATCTGGCCTGGAAGAATGTTTATGGGAAAATAAATGTAAGTTAAAGAGTTGCAAATATGGCAGAGATAATCTGCAATACTTTAATACCTGCTCAATACTTTTTGCATTCACCTAGCTGTGATTGCAACAACTTTACTTCCAGTGAGGACAGCCAGACAAAGCTCAAAGTTACTCTCTCTGTTAACGAGAGGGAGTCCTAGAGAACAGTGTAAAGAACTCCCTCCAGCCCATGAGGGGCTGAGCAGTTTGCCTTTACACAGCGGTGAAAGTACACCGGTAAGAAGTGGCTGCCAGTACTGGCCCATATGCAGCCGAGGTAAAAGTGCTTTAATCTTGCTTCTCCCTCTCCCCCGCGTCGGCGGCCCCTACCAGCAGGGCTGCCACCGAGGGGGAGGGGGGTGTAAAAGGGGCAGCTGCCCCGGGGTCCAGCAATTTAAAAGGGCCCGGGGCTCCTGGCCCTTTTAAATAGCCACCAGAGCCCCAGGCAGCATGGGCCAGGCAGCGTGGATGGGCTGGCTGGGGGAGGCTGACCTCCCCCAGCCCCGCCCCTTCCAATTGAGGCCCCACTCCTTTCAGGGGCCCGGAGCTGGGCCCTTGTACTGGTAAGTCCTCTGTGCTACTTTCACCCCGTCTTTACAGTGTTTCTTGCCCTTGCTTGCCAGGAAATTGAGGTGTTTTAGATTTAGAGACCAGAAGGAAACATTGTGATCATCTAGTCTGACTTCCTGTATAACGCAGGCCAGAGAACCTGATTTCCATACACAAACTATCTTCTACCAGACAAACTGAATATATTATCTGTAGAGTATTCTTGTGTTGAAAAATAAACGAAGAAAGATAACTGTGTGTGCTAACAAGCTGCTCCATTTTGCAGTGGAAGTTTTAAATTTTAAGCTCGTGCAACCTCTTAGGTATACCAGTTAGGCTCTGGAACAAATTCCAGTTTGTTACTTCAGTAAAATTCTAGAGTGCATGGAAACTGTCATCAGGGAGAGAATGCAATCCCCTGAGTGCAGGAGACAAAGTACTGTCACTAGGAAATATCTCAAAAATGCACCATAAAAAAAAAGTTAACTTAGTTTCTTTTGTTTTTTTGAAGGGAAGGGTTAAATTTACATAGGCCATAACTTTCCCAAATTTGTGAACAGAGGGACTTTCCACGCTCTGACAGTAAGTGGCTGGGTCCAGCCAGCCCCACAGATCTGTTGCCCCTTCTCTGGACCCTATAGAGGCTAATATGTAGGTCAAGAGCCAGTGCTGGTGAGGACTTGTAGACAAAGGGTATGTCTACACTACGAAATTAGGTCGAATTTATAGAAGTCGGTTTTTTAGAAATCGGTTTTATATATTCGAGTGTGTGTGTCCCCACAGAAAACGCTCTAAGTGCATTAACTCGGCGGAGCGCTTCCACAGTACCGAGGCAAGCGTCGACTTCCGGAGCGTTGCACTGTGGGTAGCTATCCCAGAGTTCCCGCAGTCTCCGCTGCCCATTGGAATTCTGGGTTGAGATCCCAATGCCTGATGGGGCTAAAACATTGTCACGGGTGGTTCTGGGTACATATCGTCAGCCCCCCGTTCCCTCCCTCCCCCCGTGAAAGCAAGGGCAGACAATCATTTCGCGCCTTTTTTCCTGAGTTATCTGTGCAGACGCCATACCATGGCAAGCATGGAGCCCGCTCAGGTAACCGTCACCCTATGTCTCCTGGGTGCTGGCAGACGCGGTACGGCATTGCTACACAGTAGCAGCAACCCCTTGCCTTGTGGCAGCAGACGGTACAGTACGACTGGTAGCCGTCATCGTCATGTCTGAGGTGCTCCTGGTCGCCTCTGTGAGGTCGATCAGGAGCGCCTGGGCAGACATGGGCGCAGGGACTAAATTTGGAGTGACTTGACCAGGTCATTCTCTTTAGTCCTGCAGTCAGTCCTATTGAACCGTCTTATGGTGAGCGGGCAGGCGATACAGACTGCTAGCAGTCGTACTGTACCATCTTCTGCCGAGCAGCCATGAGATGTGGATGGCATGCAGTCCTTCTGCACCGTCTGCTGCCAGCCAAAGATGTAAAAGATAGATGGAGTGGATCAAAACAAGAAATAGACCAGATTTGTTTTGTACTCATTTGCTTCCCCCCTCCCCCTGTCTAGGGGACTCATTCTTCTAGATCACACTGCAGTCACTTACAGAGAAGGTGCAGCGAGGTAAATCTAGCCATGTATCAATCAGAGGCCAGGCTAACCTTCTTGTTCCAATAAGGACAATAACTTAGGTGCACCATTTCTTATTGGAACCCTCCGTGAAGTCCTGCCTGAAATACTCCTTGATGTAAAGCCACCCCCTTTGTTGATTTTAGCTCCCTGAAGCCAACCCTGTAAGCGCCCCTCCCAGCGTCAGAGCAATGGCAAACAATCGGGCATCTGAGAGTGCTGTCCAGAGCAGTCACAATGGAGCACTCTGATGGGGCTAAAACATTGTCGCGGGTGGTTCTGGGTACGTGTCGTCAGGCCCCCGTTCCCTCCCTCCCTCCGTGAAAGCAAGGGCAGACAATCATTTCGCGCCTTTTTTCCTGAGTTACCTGTGCAGACGCCATACCACGGCAAGCATGGAGCCAGCTCAGGTAACCGTCACCCTATGTCTCCTGGGTGCTGGCAGACGCGGTACGGCTTTGCTGCACAGTAGCAGCAACCCATTGCCTTCTGGCAGCAGACGGTGCAATACGACTGGTAGTCGTCCTCGTCGTGTCCGAGGTGCTCCTGGCCACGTCGGCTGGGAGCGCCTGGGCAGACATGGGCGCAGGGACTAAATTTGGAGTGACTTGACCAGGTCATTCTCTTTAGTCCTGCAGTCAGTCCTATTGAACCGTCTTATGGTGAGCGGGCAGGCGATACGGACTGCTAGCAGTCGTACTGTACCATCTTCTGCCAGGCAGGCAAGAGATGAGGATTGCTAGCAGTCGTATTGTACCATCTTCTGCCGAGCAGCCATGAGATGTGGATGGCATGCAGTCCTTCTGCACCGTCTGCTGCCAGCCAAAGATGTAAAAGATAGATGGAGTGGGTCAGAACAAGAAATAGACCAGATTTGTTTTGTACTCATTTGCCTCCTCCCCTGTCTAGATCACACTGCAGTCACTCACAGAGAAGGTGCAGCGAGGTAAATCTAGCCATGTATCAATCAGAGGCCAGGCTAACCTCCTTGTTCCAATAACAACGATAACTTAGGTGCACCATTTCTTATTGGAACCCTCCGTGCAGTCCTGCCTGAAATACTCCTTGATGTACAGGCACCCCCTTTGTTGATTTTAGCTCCCTGAAGCCAACCCTGTAAGCCGTGTCGTCAGTCGCCCCTCCCTCCGTCAGAGCAACGGCAGACAATCGTTCCGCGCCTTTTTTCTGTGCGGACGCCATACCAAGGCAAGCATGGAGGCCGCTCAGCTCACTTTGGCAATTAGGAGCACATTAAACACCACACGCATTATCCAGCAGTATATGCAGCACCAGAACATGGCAACGCGATACCGGGCGAGGAGGCGACGTCAGCGCGGTCCCGTGACTGATCAGGACATGGACACAGATTTCTCTGAAAGCATGGGCCCTGACAACGCATGCATCATGGTGCTAATGGGGCAGGTTCATGCTGTGGAACGCCGATTCTGGGCTCGGGAAACAAGCACAGACTGGTGGGACCGCATAGTGTTGCAAGTCTGGGACGATTCCCAGTGGCTGCGAAACTTTCGCATGCGTAGGGGCACTTTCATGGAACTTTGTGACTTGCTTTCCCCTGCCCTGAAGCGCATGAATACCAAGATGAGAGCAGCCCTCACAGTTGAGAAGCGAGTGGCGATAGCCCTGTGGAAGCTTGCAACGCCAGACAGCTACTGGTCAGTTGGGAATCAATTTGGAGTGGGCAAATCTACTGTGGGGGCTGCTGTGATGCAAGTAGCCCACGCAATCAAAGATCTGCTGATATCAAGGGTAGTGACCCTGGGAAATGTGCAGGTCATAGTGGATGGCTTTGCTGCAATGGGATTCCCTAACTGTGGTGGGGCTATAGACGGAACCCATATCCCTATCTTGGCACCGGAGCACCAAGCCGCCGAGTACATAAACCGCAAGGGATACTTTTCGATAGTGCTGCAAGCTCTGGTGGATCACAAGGGACGTTTCACCAACATCAACGTGGGATGGCCGGGAAAGGTGCATGATGCTCGCATCTTCAGGAACTCTGGTCTGTTTCAAAAGCTGCAGGAAGGGACTTTATTCCCAGACCAGAAAATAACTGTTGGGGATGTTGAAATGCCTATATGTATCCTTGGGGACCCAGCCTACCCCTTAATGCCATGGCTCATGAAGCCGTACACAGGCAGCCTGGACAGTAGTCAGGAGCTGTTCAACTTCATGCTGAGCAAGTGCAGAATGGTGGTAGAATGTGCATTTGGACGTTTAAAGGCGCGCTGGCGCAGTTTACTGACTCGCTTAGACCTCAGCGAAACCAATATTCCCACTGTTATTACTGCTTGCTGTGTGCTCCACAATATCTGTGAGAGTAAGGGGGAGACGTTTATGGCGGGGTGGGAGGTTGAGGCAAATTGCCTAGCTGCTGGTTACGCGCAGCCAGACACCAGGGCGGTTAGAAGAGCACAGGAGGGCGCGGTACGCATCAGAGAAGCTTTGAAAACCAGTTTCATGACTGGCCAGGCTACGGTGTGAAAGTTCTGTTTGTTTCTCCTTGATGAAACCCCCCGCCCCTTGGTTCACTCTACTTCCCTGTAAGCTAACCACCCTCCCCTCCTCCCTTTAATCATTGCTTGCAGAGGCAATAAAGTCATTGCTGCTTCACAGTCATGCATTCGTTATTCATTCATCACACAAATAGGGGGATGACTACCAAAGTATCCCAGGAGGGGTGGTGGAGGAGGGAAGGAAAATGCCACACAGCACTTTAAGCACAGCACTTTAAAAGTTTACAACTTTAAAATTTATTGAATGACAGCCTTCTTTTTTTTGGGCAATCCTCTGTGGTGGAGTGGCTGGTTGGCCGGAGGCCCCCCCACCGCGTTCTTGGTCGTCTGGGTGTGGAGACTATGGAACTTGGGGAGGAGGGCGGTTGGTTACAGAGGGGCAGCAGTGGCAGTCTGTGCTCCAGCTGCCTTTGCTGCAGCTCAACCATACACTGGAGCATACTGGTTTGGTCCTGCAGCAGCCTCAGCATTGAATCCTGCCTCCTCTCATCACGCTGCCGCCACATTTGAGCTTCAGCCCTGTCTTCAGCCTGCCACTTACTCTCTTCAGCCCTCCACCTCTCCTCCCGGTCATTTTGTGCTTTCCTGCACTCTGACATTATTTGCCTCCACGCATTCGTCTGTGCTCTGTCAGTGTGGGAGGACAGCATGAGCTCGGAGAACATTTCATCGCAAGTGCATTTTTTTTTCTTTCTAAGCTTCACTAGCCTCTGGGAAGGAGAAGATCCTGTGATCATTGAAACACATGCAGCTGGTGGAGAAAAAAAAAGGGACAGCGGTATTTAAAAAGACACATTTTATAAAACAGTGGCTACACTCTTTCAGGGTAAACCTTGCTGTTAACATTACATACATAGCACATGTGCTTTCATTACAAGGTCGCATTTTGCCTCCTCCCACCGCGTGACTACCCCCTCAACCTTCTCCCCTCCCTGTGGCTAACAGCGGGGAACATTTCTGTTTAGCCACAGGCAAACAGCCCAGCAGGAATGGGCTCCTCTGAGTGTCCCCTGAAGAAAAGCACTCTATTTCAACCAGGTGACCATGAATTATATCTCACTCTCCTGAGGATAACACAGAGAGATAAAGAACAGATTTTGGTTGAATGCCAGCAAACATACACTGCAATGCTTTGTTCTACAGTGATTCCCGAGTACGTGTTACTGGCCTGGAGTGGTAAAGTGTCCTACCATGAAGGATGAAATAAGGCTGCCCTCCCCAGAAACCTTTTGCAAAGGCTTTAGGACTACATCTAGGAGAACCGCAAATGCCAGGGCAAAGTAATCCTTTCACATGCTTGCTTTTAAACCATGTATAACATTTTAAAAGGTACACTCACCAGAGGTCCCTTCTCCGCCTGCTGGGTCCAGGAGGCAGCCTTGGGTGGGTTCGGGGGGTACTGGCTCCAGGTCTAGGGTGAGAAACAGTTCCTGGCTGTCGGGAAAACCGGTTTCTCCACTTGCTTGCTGTGAGCTATCTACAACCTCATCATCATCATCATCTTCTTCGTCCCCAAAACCTACTTCCGTATTGCCTCCATCTCCATTGAAGGAGTCAAACAACACGGCTGGGGTAGTGGTGGCTGAACCCCCTAAAATGGCATGCAGCTCATCATAGAAGCGGCATGTTTGGGGCTCTGACCCAGAGCGGCTGTTCGCCTCTCTGGTTTTCTGGTAGGCTTGCCTCAGCTCCTTCAGTTTCACGCGGCACTGCTTCAGGTCCCTGTTATGGCCTCTGTCCTTCATGCCCTGGGAGATTTTCAGAAAGGTTTTGGCATTTCGAAAACTGGAACGGAGTTCTGATAGCACGGATTCCTCTCCCCAAACAGCGATCAGATCCCGTACCTCCCGTTCGGTCCATGCTGGAGCTCTTTTGCGATTCTGGGACTCCATCATGGTCACCTGTGCTGATGAGCTCTGCATGGTCACCTGCAGCTTGCCACGCTGGCCAAACAGGAAATGAGATTCAAAAGTTCGCGGTTCTTTTCCTGTCTACCTGGCCAGTGCATCTGAGTTGAGAGCGCTGTCCAGAGCGGTCAGAATGGAGCACTCTGGGATAGCTCCCGGAGGCCAATACCATCGAATTGTGTCCACAGTACCCCAAATTCGAGCCGGCAACGTCGATTTAAGCGCTAATCCACTTGTCAGGGGTGGAGTAAGGAAATCGATTTTAAGAGCCCTTTAAGTCGAAATAAAGGGCTTCATTGTGTGGACGGGTGCAGGTTTAAATCGATTTAACGCTGCTAAATTCGACCTAAAGTCCTAGTGTAGACCAGGGCTGAGTGGACCAAGTGGAAAGAGTGGGGTGGGTAAGGAGGGTGTGGCAGAGAGATGCATTCTTCCTCCTCCAGCCACATGGAGTTTAGTTAGTCCCAGGCTTTATTATTTTTCTATGTCATGCTGTCTGGAGTGGCTCACAACTGTGAGTGCCTACCTCAGGGCAGACTATCAGAAAACAAAGGCAGACACCCAAATGGGTGGCATGTTCTAAAATTAGATTTCACCATGCCAGTAACAAACGTGAATGCCAGGATCACTGTGCCAGTCTTATCATGGAGTAACAGACAGTCCCCTTAGACCTTCCAGTCTATCTTGCCACCCAGACAAATTGAACTCTGGGATAAAAGGTTACTTAAACCTAAAATTGTACCACATCAGATATCTCCCAGTCTCAAGAGACCAGTCACTTACCCCAGATCAATTGGTACTCCAAATCGCACAGCAAAGATAATGCTGGCAGCCAATTCTATAGTTAAATATAGGTTTATTAGCTAAAAAAAAAGAATGAGGGTTATTGAGAGGTAAACAGGTAAAATATATGTACAGGTGAATCACAGTTTGTAACTCCAGATGGTGGCAGCGATGTAATAAATTGCCAGTCTCCCGCTACCCAGAAGAACTCTGGGGATCTCTGTCTTCTCATTCAGTTATTAGGGCCTGTTAGAATCCAAACAGATCAGAGCTGGGTAAAGGGCCTCTGGGATCTGCTAGGTTTGGGAGTGGGTCCCATAGACTATTCCGTGGGGAAGGGGAACAATCAGGAATGAACTGCACAGGGACTTGGGAATCCAGCTTTGGGACCCAAACTCAGATTGTATGTACCAGCAGCATGTAGTCCACCTGGCATTGGCATAGGCATTTTACTATTTATCTTAACATGGCAAATAGTGTGTTCTTCTCATATAACATATAGGTGGCTCTGCCTCCCTCCTATCCACACATTATATTCCCTGGTTTCACTCCATCAGATCTACCCATCTGACAAAAATATTTATCATCAGCCTGGCTTCTTCTTTCCCTGCTGTATCTGGTATGCCACGCTACTATTAGCTGCATCAGAGCATACTGTTAGTTGCAGATACAATGCTGTACACAGCAATAAAGCTCCCCTTTAAGAAGGCACAGCACCATAACCTCCATGAAACAACATGCTGGACTGCAGATGAGAGGGCTTTAATAAGCCAGTGAATTTTCAGTGTTCTTCTAAGTAGAATTTATCCAGCTTCTCTCCTGCTGTGCAAAATGATAATTAGGCAATCAGCTGTGAACAGGTGCAGTGAGCTACTTGGAATACAGTGAACCTCCTCAGTCAATTGCCACATTTAGCATCTGAATCTTAATATCATTCCAGAAAGAGTGGCTGAATGTTAAATCTTATTGTATGATAAGGTAGAAACCTGGTAAATGCAGAACCTTCTAGAACTAAAGCTATTCTTTTAATAGGTCCGTTGCAGTAGCCGGTATTAGTCTCAAGGAGTTCTGCTGTTCTTAGAAACTGTACATTTAGAAAATATTTAAGTAACAGAGATATTCTTTAATTACATTGCATTGTTTTTTATATATTTTAATGCCTTGGACATCTATTCCTTTTTTTACCAATTTAAATTTTTTGATGCAATTTGTCTTTTTTAAATCCACAAATAACTGTTGATATCTAAAAGAAACAAAAAAAATTAAAAAAAAAAATCTCATACTGAATTGGGCTCCACTCCTGTAAAGCACACGTGTTTAAGTTTGTCATTTTGAAGCATAATTTTTGATATTTCAATTCTTTTGATATTGTTCTTGAGACATTTGAATGACATTATTTCCCCTTCTCTTTTGAAACATTTTATATAACATTTTCTACAGGATTTGAACCAAGAAACTTCTACAGCAATCAAGGTCCAATTGTTCTAAGAAGAGTGTGTGTGTAAGATATATAATAATAGACAGTGCTTGCCTGGAAGAGCCTACCATCAAAGGCTCCAGTCCTGCAAAACACCAGAGTATATCTTAACTTTATGCATTGTGAGTATTACCATTCACTTCAGACTATAAAACAGATTTTTCTGCATTGACTAATTGAAGTCAATTATATAGTTTAAAGTGACTATCACTATTCACAGTACATAAAGTTAAGCATGAACATACATCTTTGCAGGATTGGGGACAATAGACTAGACAATGGATGGAGAAAAGGAAGTATTATGTCCCTTGCAGAGACTGGGGCTTGCCAAAGATCACACGGGAAGTCTGGTGATAGAGCTAGGAATTAAACCCAGATCTTCTGAGTGCTAGTCCAATTCCTTAGTTATGAAACTATCCTTCCGTTGTTTCACCTGTAAGACTTTGTAGAGGAAGTTAATGGAGGATTTGTTGTTGTAGGATTAGATGGGTATATAAAGGGTTAAATTAGCTTGGGTAAAGAATATATATACTTTACAAATTGTGTAAAGTGCCAGTACTCAGCAGTTGCGGGAAGACCTTAAAAGAAGGTATGCTCCTAGGCTTGGAATGTGGCTTAATTGGAAACAGTAGACCTGAAGTGTGGCTGATAAGATAGGGGGGAAATCTTTGAAGAAAAAGCCCCAGTATAAAAACTGGTTCTAAGGGTTTTTTAGCAAAGTAATGTATTCAGGAAGCAATGACTATAGTCATGTAGAACCCGATGGATAAGGTATAAAAGGGTGAACTATTAAAGGGTTTGTTGGTAGTACCTGACTGTCCAGTTGGAGCCACTGCCAACATGGGTTTGAGCATTCTGGGTCTAGTCCTGTTGTTAGTATCTGATCAAAGCTCATAACTGCATTTTACTGTATGGGTGTGATTGCTTTAAGGCACTTTTGGAGCAGCTGTTTAAATACCATTTGGCCTTTGGGATTTAGTAAAGGAATGTGTGGTTAAATTGGTGGTGTGGTGATACCCTCTATTAATAATAATCATTCCAACAGTTATAGAATCTTTTTTTTTGTCTTTTGGAAGTTATGTATTTACTAAGCATATCTCATGCTGTACAGAGAGAGGAAGACACTACCCCTTGGTTAAGGAACTTTAAATGCAAGTCCTCACTCCTGAAAACAGTTGCTGACATGTTTAACTTTATGTGCATGGATAGTTGTGTTGTGAGACTATCCATGCACATAAGATTAAGCACGCAAGCAAGTGTTTACAGGAGTGAGGACTTGCATTTAAAGTTCCTTGGCCAAGGGGTAGTGTCTTCCTCTCTCTGTACAGCACTAGGTTTGCTGTCTGTGCTCAATAAATGGTAACTTCCTGGTTTCAGGGATGAAAGTAAGTCGAGTGACTTACCGGTATGCTGGGGCCAGCTCTGGCCCCTGGAAGGGGTGGGGCCTAGGGCGGAAGGGGCAGGGCTGAAGGGGTCAGAGCCAGCCCCAGCCCATCCTGTAAGGTAAGTGCCCCCCATCCTTCTCCTCCTCCTCATCCCCTCCTCCACCAGGGTAGCAGCAGCAGCCCAGGGCTCCCGGGGTTATTTAAAGGGCCCAGGGCTCCCCTGCTTCTACTGCCCCAGCCCTTTAATTAGCCACCGGAGCCCTCGGGAAGCAGCGGGGCTCCAGCGGCTATTTAAAGGACTGGGGCAGCAGAGGCAGCTGAAGCCCCGGCCCTTTAAATAGCCGCCAGAGCCGTGCAGACGCTACCCCATGGCTCCAGCAGCAGGGGGCCACTGCTGGGAGCCCCAGGCCCTTTAAATTGCCCCCTGGGGAAGCCGGGCTGCCCCAGTATGGTGCACCAGCTCTTGCTGGTATGCCATACCAGGGCGTACCAGCTTACTTTCACCTCTGCCTGGTTTCAAGTGGTGGTAAGTGCAACAGATGCAATCATGGCTCTGTTTGTCTCTGATTGGGAGCGCTGGTGCTGCTGTGCTCAATGCCAGCAACCAGTGGCTGAAGCCCAACTATGGCCAACACCTATTTTGATTAGTATTTTCTTTGTGTAATTGAAAAATATAAAGTCATATCTATGCTTCACAATATGAATGCTTTTATATGCTAATATCTGTTCTTACAGTGTACCACCCACTATTCTGTCAATCATAGCTTGACAATGACCAACTCGGGTCCCCGGAAACTATCTTGTTGAGAATCTAAACTGTAGGAGCCAGACATCCTTCTACGAGACTTGTTTTCGCCTCCACTCTTATCTCTTTCTGGTAGAGTGCTCTATGTAAATTTGAGCTTAATCAAGCCATAAAGCTCTGTTCCAAAACACTTCACCCTTTTCCAAGTAGTCTTGAGCAAGTTTTAATTGCACCACCTTGTGCTCCGGGTGTGGCTTCTGACAGGATAATCTTCCATTCAAAACCTCACAACTGACATAATGTTACAATTATGTTCCTTAAGCTTTTTTTTTACATCTGTCAAAACTCTACATTCTGTTTAATTAACCAGTTCCATTATCACTCCTTCCATTTTTTTGTTTACTGGTGTCTCTCTTAAATATTTTGCTTAACAACACACTGTCTATTGTTTTACTGCAATTTCTATGAGCCACTTAGCCAACAGTTTTGAATGACTTCCTTTTCTCAAAGATCTGCCCTCTTTTAAAAACAAGTAAGGACAGGCCACCCATTGAAACATTTTAGATACTCTGGTGGAGGCAAAGAAACTTTTCTCTGTCACCAGCACAACCTGGCACGAGTACCAGTAAACATTCCCCTCAACCTGCCAACACTCAGATGTGGAAATCAATGTGTGACCCAAAGTGAGGGACACAAGGATTATTCATGCAAATAGCTTAAAATGCTTTTGGAGTCTTTCCTGTAGTGTAAATAACTCTTTCTGTAACCTTCCTTTCATGATACTTTATTTCTGGTGTGCATTATTTTCAACATTAAAAGTAAAGGGACGCCAGACTTGTGAGGCACTTGGGTAACTTTAGGACTAAAATGGGGGATGTCCCTCAAAATGAGGTATGGCAATAAATAACCCAGAAAGACCAATATAGCAGATAGTACAAAAAATAAACAAACCATTTTTTATTTCCATGTATG